GCCCATCTTCTAGCCATGAACGGATCGTGATATTCCCAGCTCTCAACACTGCTACTTCTTCCGCCTGTGCTCTCAACAGCGTCAACAGCATCAGTCAGTTCTTTTCTATCACCAATTCTGACTACAATTTCCCCTGTTTTAACAGAGTCATCCATCATGCAATCAATATAGGTATACACCACATGGACCTGGTCCAACTCTTCCAAAAGCAACGGGATTCTCCTCACCTCACCCCCTCGTAATTCTCCAATTCTCATAATCCTAGAGTCCTGCCCAATCCTCAATGCAATTTCTCTAACCACACCACCCAATATTTTAGCAAGAAATCTCTCAAACTCGTGCATGACAAACCCATTTGAAGTGCCAAATCCAAATCCTACGTGAAACTTATGGATTGTAATAGGAAGTTCCAAGTGAAACCCATGGAAAGATCTTGTTGGATTGTCAGACAGATGCAGAATAAAAGAATGAGGATTTTGGTGGGTGCGCTCTCGTAGTATCTTTACTCCTTTCTTGAGTCCTTCTACTGGATCAGCTTGGCCCATATAAAACAGTCGATCAATCACTTGTAGTGCTGTCCGCTTCCCATAAGAGGTCATACACTTGAGGGGGAAGATACGTGCTGCAGCAGAAGAGTAGGTAACAATAGCCAAGCGGTCTATAGGTCGGAGTGAAAATACCACCAATGCCATGGCTTGTTTCATAAGCCTTAGGTGAGGTCCATTTGAGCTTGCAACTAAGACTAAGTCAGTGGCCGGCTGATGTGCCAATTTTAAGCAGAGATAAGCTCTCCTAGAGGATGTGGAAACAATAGGTGTCTGCCCGCTTTCTGCAAAATGTTGCGCTGCTGGATGTGAAGATTCTAAAGAAGAACTAGATAGACAATGCTGAGGACAATGGCATGAACTAAAGCCAGACTTTGGATTTGAGCAAGGATCAAACATAGAGGTACCGTGAGTGATAGGTGACAAAGACAGATGCAGACGGTGAAGATCTGATGTACGGTCAGGCTCGATTGGATCATCATCATCATAGCGAGCAGAGCGCAAAAAGGAACGTCTATGTACCCGCGAAGTAGCAATTGATTCATCAAGAATCTGGAGAATGGGATCAGCTTGATTGTTGTGAGCAGAATAATCCATCTTCAATGTCCGAGGTAGTTGAGTCCAATGTGCACGGCAAACAGGGCATGTAACATTGCCATGGCGGATATTGGATGATATGCAAGCAAAGTGAAAAGCATGAGAGCATTGCGCTGTGAATATAGCTTGTCCTGGGCTGCTGTCGCAGCTATAGGTCAACGGATCCAGACATATTGGACAAAAATTCTGCCAAACAATAGTAAGAGAAGAATGAGTTTTCTAAATTGCAAATGGATGTGGCGTGCATCAAATGGTTAGATGATGGGAAGAGGTGAGCATAAGACCAACAGAAAGGAACTAATAAGACATACGTAAAAATCATTCCCATGCAGGACCTTGGAGATTCTTTGTAGGAACAAGCCACGTTGAACATACTGACGCCAAAAAGAAATAGACCAGTTCCTAAAACATAAAAAAGGAAGGAAAAAAACCCAGATATAACTTTCTAAAGAAAACTAGAAAAGACTCGGTGTGCTTGGAATATTCAATCAGATGGCACAAAATTACTACTCATTTATTGAACAAGGAGAAACTAGTAATATAAAACATTCTAAAGTGTGCCAATCCCCCCCCCCCCCCC